TGAACCATATTTGTTTTCTAGCTTCTACCTCTACGGTACACGTGACATTTGAAAATCGAAAGTTTTGCTTTACAGTTTGGCATGAAACAATCATAATTAATCCCTTTCTCGTTTCTACCAACTTTAATTATGTCCTTGACCTCTATTTTTTTCTTTTTTCTTCGGTTTGGTATAGCTTTCGTTGTCACTTTCCGGTCTACACATAATGTTATTTATAACTGTAGTTTATCAAATATTATCAATGCCGCCTCTGTTGAAGATCCTGGAAAACTAATTAAATTAATGACCTCATAGCAAAAAATAAGCAATAACGGTTGCGTTATTTTATTTCTTTTGTAGTTTTCTCACTTTTTTTAACTCGTCTGAAGAAACAACGAGTATCAACAAATGATGGAAATCATTCTCCCTACAACACAATAGTTCTTAGTTAAATATAAATCCTCGAATTTACCGTGATAAATATTTAATTTTGAGCACGTTGATTGGCCACCTCGTAAACTACATTTAACGATCTTTTGATTGAATCCCAGTGACAAGATCTTCCTGCTTGACACGCTGTGTGCAGATAACAATTGAATCTATTTACCACGACTTAATGTAATTAGCATATTAATATGTGCCGTCAAGTAATGTCATTGATGAATAGCCAAATGAGAATTAAAATTCGATACATCGCGCACATCATCAATATATATGTATGGAATTATAGTCAATTTACATTTGTTTCTCTGTACAGCATTTTTCTGAAAACTGCGTCAGTATGTAATTCACCGTACAACGTTTCCAGTCGATTCGATCCATCTCATTTCATCAGTCATAAACGTTAAGTCCTGTATATAATTTCCAGTATTTTCTGGAAGCTTTGTTTACATCGAACGACGGCCATGTTTGACCGAGAGATTTAAGAAGGCATTTACCGACACGAATTCGACAGCTTGACTGACGGAACCCGATTGTCTCGGTTATGTATACTCAAGGTTCGAATCTCGGCCTATAAGAGAGCGATCGGTATGTTCATTTTCTTCCCTCGTTTTCGATTATCATCAATCGTGGTAATTTCAATCTAGGAAATATTATTATCGAAGTATTCAATCTAGTCTCGTTTGCATCGGTAAATATACACGAGATGTAAATCAGACGTGACCGTTATTTTATCAGTATCGTGTGCAGCAGGTGTTCCATTAATTCAGTTCTTCGTGTTATGTGTGATAACTTTAGTTTCCGTAATTTCATTTTTCGTAAGGTCGTCATTATTGTTTTCCGTTGTCAAACACCCGTGATGTAATTAAACTATTAATACATACCGGCCAGGAGCCAGGAGCGATTGTGTTCAAATGATGTACACACTGTACACTTGAACCCTTTCATGTAACGCATGGACAAAAATAATTTCGCCGGAGTGTGCCAAAATTCATGAGTCTTTTGGCTGAATGCACGCAAGAAACAGTGAAGGTAGGAAACAAAATTGAGACAAACGCTTTAAGCACGACACGCAAATCTAATGTTTACCTTCAAACATTATTATGTACCAAAAAATATGTGGATCACTTATAAACAAAAATTAAGGCTGAATTTAAACGTTTGTTTATAGATTTAATCTTTTGACCGTACTTTTCGTGTGTATGATTATTTCTGATTCGAGGTAAATAATAATAATACAGGTTAGGGATGTTCAAGCGCGAGAAGGTATTTTTAGTATAATTCTATATTCGCTGTATTATTTCAAAATCACTTTTTTCGTTATTTGTTTCTATGCAGAGCTAATATAAATACAAAAATAGGAAATGTATACACGTAAAATTGTAGCCACAATTATGCACGAGTTGCTTACAAACGTTACATGCAGCTATGTTTTATTAATAACAAATGTACATGTGAAAGCAATCTCACTAGCGATATTTATCATTACAATACACTTATCGTTGCACCATTTGCATTGATTGCGTCGCGTTAAGTATGTTTGTTGAACGTTCATCGACAAATAGCATAAATTGATATAAATTTTTATATCAAAAGAAGCTTGCAATATAAAATTGTGAAAAAGAATAATCTACATGGTAAAATTAACTACGCAGTAACACAACTATGCAGCCATTTTGTAACGTGTTACCATTTCTTCATCGGATTAAAAATCGAAGCAAGGTAACGTCCGACAGAGTGAGCTCTTTTTTGGAAATGTTTCAAGCAATACATCATCCTCGGTGTTTTTGCGTGTAATGAAATATTCGATAAAAATATTTTTTGTTGCTTTATTGAAAGCATCTTTTTTCCATTTTGAAATAAGCAAGTATTGCAAATTGATTTAGAATAAGATTGATTAATTTGTTAGTAGCAGATACAGGTATGAAGATAATTGTAAAGTATAATACGTAAAGTATGTACGTTGTATAATAGGGTGCAACTAAAATATATGCATATGCAAATTCTTATCAACAATGTCATAAATATAACTGATAATTACTGTGGTCAAGGAAAAGTGGAATTGCAATTAAAAAATAAAACTTTTGAAGTCATTAATTTTTATACGTAACGTAAAATGCGTCAAGTAAAATTATATCTTTCCGGTGTATTTTCAGTTTTTTTTCGGAATTAAATTAATTTCAGTCTCGCTTATCGATACATTGCGTTTCGTAATCTGCTCCAAACAAGCGTCTTACCGTTATCCTGTCCAATGTTCTAGAAATTGTCAAACAAAGAAGATACCTTTGTGCCAGCGCGTGCCACTCATAGCAACGCGCATTACAACATTTCTCCTTTGTCTTAATTCTGTCATTCTCTCGATTTAATGGCTGTAATTACATCGACCTACTCCTTTAAGTTCGTTCATGGACCACAAGAAGTTTTACTCTGGTCATTGTGTCACTGAACGATTCCATTTTATTATTCATTGCTTACTTGCTTGAGTTACCCCGAACATTTTCTATTAAGATAATCATAATTATATGCAAAGTGTACAATTTTTTTTCTCGTTTTTTTTTTTTTTTTGTTTTTTTAATATATTATTTACTTTCTTACCAATTACAAAACACTGTGTAACACTTTTTTTGTACGTGTTATATTTGATCTTGGCAAATAGTAATTTGTTAAGCAAAGTACACGATGTTATTTGCAAGAATAATTCATAAATCGATTCCTAGTTACAAGTAGGATTTAGGTCGAACTTTATTTTCGTAGCATAAAATCAGTGCCAAATTTTCTCATTATCTCGAGCACTACTATTATGTATCTTGTACTTACGTGATAAAAAGATTCATTAATGTAAAATGAGATTAATCCTTAATGAGTACTTGTATCTGTAAATTTTTTATTTTCCCCAAAAGAGGATTTTCAAGTAAATATTGACATGGAGTCTCACACATGTGATTCTTTATCTGTATTGGGTAAAAATAATTATCTCCCGGTTCACCGATAAAGAGCTAGACTGGATTCGAAATTGTTCGAAACTGTTTTATGTTCCTAGTTACGTTATAATGTAGGAAATATTTTTGAATAAATTTTCCGATGCACATATATCAAAACCGTTCGTCTATTTTATTACATAAATGTTATTACATAATCGTATATTAATATTTGCGAATCCTTTTCGAATATTAACATGAAATTAATTATTTGTTGTAGAAAAAATGGCGACATCCAAAACTCAGATAAATCATCTTTAGTGGAGTCAACATTACTTCCAAAAACCCAGTCAGTTAACCAGTTGGAAGATGGAAGACCTGAGCTTGCAACCAACAGTGGATACAGCGATGATGGAAATGGTCGAAATGTTAGTGGAAGTGTCATCAAACAAGTTCTGGCAGCAATAGTAGCGCAACTTGGGACCATTAACACTGGTATGACTTTTGGTTTTTCTGCCATTGCACTACCACAACTTCAGGAACAAAATAGCACCATTCCTATCGTCGAGGGATCATCCGAAGAATCATGGATCGGTAAATTAATACTATTTTATTAAAACCAATAAAAATGTATGATTATAATGATAATAATAAATTATATTTTTCTTTATAGCGAGTATGTCTTCCATTGGAACTCCCATTGGTTGTTTAGTGTCTGGATATATGATGGACGTACTTGGAAGAAAACGATCTCTCATTATTACTGAGATTCCAGCATTACTTGGATGGATATTAATTGCATTAGCAACTGATATTCGTATGATATATGCTGGAAGATTCTTCGTTGGACTTGGATCGGGTATGGTAGGCGCTCCAGCACGCGTCTATACTGGAGAAGTAACACAACCCCATCTACGAGGAATGTTGACTGCTTTTGCAAGTATTGGAGTCAGCACTGGTGTTCTGATCGAGTATGCATTAGGAAGCGCACTTACATGGAACGTCTGCGCAGCTATTAGTGGAATTATACCTCTTGCCGCTCTGCTGTTAATGTTTCTCTTTCCTGAGACACCTTCATACCTCATATCTCGTAGTAGACCTGAAAAGGCACGAAAAGCGTTACGACAATTTCGCGGTAGTACATATAATATTAATCAGGAAATGGAAACACTTATTAATTTTTCAAATAAGAATAATATTAAGCGTTTAACAGGATTCCGTGAGATAATTAGCGCCCTTTTAAAGCCTAATGCTGTCAAACCTTTTACTGTCCTATTCTTGTACTTCTTAATATACCAATGGTCAGGTACAAATGTCATAACTTTTTATGCTGTTGAAATTTTTAAAGATTCAGGAGCAACGTTAAATAAGTACTTAGCTGCAGTAATTCTCGGAATAGTAAGATTAATATCAACGGTTGCCGCTTGTATCTTGTGTAGAAAGTGTGGCCGAAGGCCCCTTACAATGATTTCTTCCATCGGTTGTGGACTTTCCATGGTAGGATTAGGTGGATATATGTGGCTGAAAAATAACTGGGATGCAAATAATTTTACACCTGTTGCTACTTGGTTCCCTGTCTTTTGTATATTTGCATATACTGTAACTTGCACACTTGGTTTTCTTGTTATTCCTTGGGTAATGATAGGCGAGGTATATCCAATACAAGTACGCGGTATTATTGGAGGTTTAACTACAATGGCAGCCCACTCTTTTATTTTTACAGTAGTTAAAACGTATCCGTTCCTAGCTAACGCACTTACTCGGCACGGTACTTTCATCCTTTATGGTTGTATATCTTTATTCGGCACGATATATTTTTATCTATGTCTTCCCGAAACTAAGGGTAAAACTCTTCAAGAAATAGAAGATTACTTTTCTGGTAGAAACAATAACTTAAGAACCGGAAGTATAGGTAAACATAAGCCAAAGGTATTAGAAGTAAAAAAGGGTCACATATTGCCTTGAATAACTCATACAGTGAACATCTTAATAAAATTAAATTAATAAATCTGTCTTCCATTGAACAAATTTAAAAATTTATACGACTATGTTTTATTTTATCGAAGACCAGTTTATAATTTAAAAAAAAAAACGTAACAATAGTAAAGAAACAATAATGGTGTTTTATATTCATTTTGTAACATGACATCAAAACTAGCAATGTGATCAAAAGACTTAAAAATTTTATTAAGAGCAATTAAATAACTCTATTGATGTTTTGATATTTTATTTCTTGTTTTTAGGTAAGATAATTTTAATTTTCAATTATGCCTATTTATTAATTAAATATAAAATAATTTAAATCGTTAATTTTAAGAAGATAGTAGCAATGCAATATATTTTTATAAGAATCATCTTCAGGATTAAATTTATTCATTAAAAACAAAAGGAAAAGAAATAGAAAATGTTTGTGCTTCGCGAATTATTTAATATGCGCACAAAATAATGAAAGGTGCTATTTATTATTATAGTATTATAATATTTGTATATACGCGATGAAATGATGAAGTGTAGTTAACAATATGTGTAAGTAACATCTGTAAAAAAAGATGGTCTGACAATGAGTTTCAGCAATGCAAACTACCATATAAGTTAAATTAAACATTTTTAATATATTTATTATGAAGTTTGAGTTGTTAAATTCTTCCTCTCTAATTCCAATGTTTTAACTGGTGTTGTATTGATTGCAAAAAATAATATACTCCTTAATTTTTCAATACTACAATTTTATTTCACTGAAAAGTATTAAAACATATTATTCACTTCTACAGCGACAGAAAATTATTTTTACATACTAATCAAGTTTTAAACGTGGTCTATTAAGTTTCCTATCCTTCCTTTCTTGCTTCTCTTTCAAAAATTGCTTAATCATCGCCATGGGTAATATTTCTCCTCTGTATGTTTTTGGTAATACTTCTTGATCTAAACTTTTCAGTTTATCTTCGACATACTGTTTTGCATTAAATGCATGTGCTTTCTTAATTTTTGCAAGTAATTCTGCTTGAAACAGTTTTTCTCTTTGTATATTACGGTTTATTCTTGCTTTTGCCCAAACAAATTTCATCTTTTTTCGTAACTTTATCCTCTTATGCTTCTTCAGCTTCCGTCTTCTAATTTTTATTAACTTTGAAGCTAATTTCTCTAAAATAGTTTCCGTTGGTGGAAACTGGAATGATGTATCTATTAATGGTTGATCCCATTCAATAGGTTTTTTTATTAAAGGTTCTTTCATTGGTGGTATATATTTAGATAGTGGTATTTCATGTATTATTTTTTTAATAGTGCTATCTGGATTTCCAATATCCATATTAAGTGTTTTTGGCATGAATTTAATATACACATTGGAAGGTGCTACATTCAATGCACTTTTGGAAAAATTAGAAATATGTATTGCATTATTTCGATTTTTCAACATATAATAAGAATAATAGCTTCCACTAATATTACCTAAAATAATAATAATACAATAATAATATTAATTACAGTTATTAAATAATAAGGTTACAAATATTAATTAGGTTATGTTTACAGCATCAAATTATATTTAAAAAATTGTACAATTTACATACTTTCCATATTTATCGTTATTTGTCGGAATGCTGCACATAATTTGTTAACAGCCATTATAATATTCTTTTATATGTTATATCAAATGTAAAATAATATATCAAAACGTTACATAGCACATTCAAAGCAAAGACCAGATGGTGACATAACGATCGAAGAAAACCATGTTCGATAAGATATAACATTTTTGCCATACATGATATATGTATAAAACAATAATACATAAATGTACTATATAAGTGTATAACTACATAAATGTAGGTATATAAAATAAGAAATAAGACTTGTGAGATTTTATATTTCGTTTATTGAAAATTATTAATTTATTTAAACAATATATATGTATCTCTTAACAGGAGATTTTATATTGTTATATAACATAAACCTGTTTTTAAAGGTATTTTAATCCATTCGGGTTTTGATAGTCCTAGTTGTAACCTTATCTTTTTCTCTGTAATTGAAAGTCAATGATTAATATTTCTCACAAAAATAAGCAAGAAATATAAATTAAATATAACTTACACTATGTAAACAATAGCTCCCCAACCAGATATTGCATCTCTGTCACATGCATTTACTAATGCCTGACTGATTGTTTCAAAAAGATCATCTGGTTCCATATCTGGTTCATAAATTGATTCACACATACCATATAATTGTTCGCTACATGTTCCTCCAACTACAAAATCATTTGATGGACTTATACATCCTATTAAATCCATATTGCAAATAAATGGTTCATAAGTGGTAGGACTTAATCCAGCAATGATAGGCTCTACAAAATAAGGACCAAATCTCTTTTCATATAGTAAATTTGATACCATTGATGCAAATGTTTTAGGTTGTATTTGTCTATTTTCCTTTAATTCATAGAGATTTAATCTAAATCTTAACTTTTCCATTACAGTTTGAGTATCAGTGGCAAGACCGGGGAGACTAAGATATAAATGAGATCCCATTTCAAAGATTTTCTGAAAATCACATGTTATAGTTTGTGCTTGTATACCAAACCTACGATCAGCAGCTATTGCCACACAATTCTTGCCTTTCATTGCTACAATAGCTCCACCATTATAAGCTAAAATACTCTGAAAAAGATTGAAAACAATGAAAAATTTCAATTATTAATAATAAATACATCTTATTTTTATATTTATTTAAATTAATTCAAAATTATTGATTAAGCAATTATACAAATTTAATTTATAATACAATTGTGTTGCTTTAGCATAATTTGTGAAACGTGCAGTGTCATTCATATATTTGACAGTAACATAACCTTTTCTTCATTTTATATTGTTTGAAAATATTTTAATTTGTGAGTAAATAAAAGTTCCGAAATTTGGAAACATATATCAAAAAGCTATTATTTTACATACAAAAAATTACCATTTTTACGAAGTTTTAGAAAGTTCACAAACAAATAAATGCTACCGCACTTTAAAATACACCACAGTATATAATGATGAATCATGAAATATGTAATGTATAGAAGTTCAATTTCCTTTTTTATTAATAAGTGGAAATATAAATTTATATAATTTGTAAAGACGCATATTAATGCGTTTTTTATTTAAAGATCATTAATAACATATAATATTCGTGCTTAAGTATATTATTTTTAAAACAATTTCGCAACGTTATATATTTCGAAAATATGCGGGAAAATCAGTATCATTTTGAGTTCTGAATCGTTTAAAAATTTTACAATTTTCTTGCATACCTTTTTGATTAGATTAATGTATATTAAATATGTTTATAATATATGTTTGGTACATTAAGAATAATAATCTAATCGAATAAAATGTAATGTATTGCCGAAAATTTTTTAAAACAGTATGGTATATTTTCCACTGAGAGTAGAACTTCTAGATAGTCTATTCCATCATCCCCTCCAAGATCCCAGAAAGTCAAGAGCAAAGGGGAAAAACATGGCTCTGCAATGTTATTGAGAAATTCGAGACAGTTTGATGTTTCGCATTTAATTCGTTGTCTATTCTAGAGAAAGAAGTTTATATTTTTTGTGGGTTCAAAGTTCTTTTTTAACTAAACGTTTTATAAAAGTGGTAGCCAGAGTGGAAACAAGAGGTGGAAAACGAACAAGAGAGAGAGAGAGAGAGAGAGAGAGAGAGAGAGAGAGAGAGAGAGAGAGAGAGAGAGAGAGAGAGAGAGAGAGAGCAAGAGAGCGAGAGATAGAGAAAGAGAGAAAATGTGTTCGATCAAGACGAGTCATTGCAAATGTCATGAATTTTGCAACTGGGAATGATTTACGAATTACTGAAAAAAAGAATTTTCGTAGGATTTATCTTTGTAGGAATTAGAATCAATCGACAATTGCATCTCAGAGAATACAGATCACTCTTTCTACGAGCTTTTGGTTAGTGGTTTCGATCAAAACCATCTGGATACTACCAGTCAGCTGTAGTTTGTAACACACGTTTACACGTGCAGTTTATAATTCATTCAATGATCATTTAAACGTATAAATTTAATCGTAATAAGGTGTAATAAAATACAATTATGGCAAAACATGATCGCTTTTAGTTCCGATTTGACGATGATTTATGAATGGTTTATACTTTTTGACACAAATGTACAGGCTCTATTTCGAGTGCTGATCTGCTCGATCTACCTGCTCTAGAAAAGTATTCCAAGAAATAATTTATTGATTGTATATATTGTGTCAAAAAGCGATTGAATAAAAGAAATTTTTGATGACCATGAAATGAAAATACACTCGCGATGTATTTTACTTTTATGTTATTTTTAAACACTGATGTACAAAACACTTGGACTAAGCCTTGTATTCTCAGTCTTTGTCTATAGTTCAAAGATTATTCTTGGAATGTGTTTTAGGTGCTTGGTTTTAATATTCTTTAATTCCATAACTTTTAATACATATTTAACTATTATCTAAACTTTTCTTTGCAACTGTCTTCCATTGTTACTTAAAGATTATAATCGAAATCAGTGTTTTTTTTTTAGGTTTACAGGTTTGATAATTATATTATAGAATTTGTATACTCTCTTTGGTGTTGTAAGTCTATGGTATTTTGTTGATTGTGTAAAAGAATGTCACTAAAACCTAAACGAGTTGATTTTACTCAAACATGGGAAGCATTGCAAGAGACTGTAAAATGTGTAATAACATTATCATATGTTCCACGTGCAACATGGTATGATAGATTCAGGTACTTTTTGATATCTTATGATTCCATTCACAATCTTAAAAGTAATATATATCTCAATTTTATGTACATATCATATATTTTGTTTCAGTGATGTATATTCATTATGTGTGGCATATCCAGAACCACTTGCCGATCAGTTGTATTATGAAACAAAAAGCTTTCTAGACAATCATGTCTTCCAATTGTTAGCAAAAGTTCGTGCCCAAGGAGAATCTAATTTACTACAGGCATATCATCAAGCTTGGACAGAATATTCACAGGGCATTAAGTACTTACATTGCTTATATTTATATTTGAATCAACAGCACATTCAAAAACAAAAGATTTCGGAGGCAGAACTGATTTATGGCATGTCTTCCGCTGCAGTCGTTAATTATCAAGAACAAATGGAAATAGGAGAATTAGGTTTAGATATTTGGAAAACAAAAATGATCATACCATTAAAAGAACAGCTTGTTCCTCTGTTATTAGAAAATATTCATGCAGAGAGAGTTGGTACATCTTGTAGAGCAAGTACAGAAGTTACTCGTGGTGTGATACAAAGTTTTGTTGAAGTTGAGGACTATAAAATGAATGGACAATTAGATGTAGTGATCTTTATTATATTATTCAATTTTTGTCAATATACATGTTTCTTGCAAAACTATTTTATATAGTGTGTCTTGTCTTAGATGTACCAAGAAATTTTTGAGACACCTTTCCTTGAGGCTAGTGGAGAATTTTATACGAGGGAAGCAGCTGAATTACTTCAACAGTCGGATGTAACAAATTATATGAAAACAGTTATATGGCGATTAGTTCAAGAGGAAATTCGTGCTTACAAGTATCTTCATACAAGCTCTGTGGCTAAAGTTGGTCTTCATTTCTATATATTAAATACAAATGCTATATTAAAGTGATCAATTTTGTTAATAGTAATATGTTGTAGGTGAGACGCCGTTGTGAAGGAAAAATGATCGCTGCGCACATAGCGTGGCTTCACTCGGAAGGAAAAAATATGATAGATAACGAACGCAAAGGAGACTTGAGCCTCCTTTATTCATTGCTAAAGCCATTACCTTCAGGTTTAACCGCTCT